CGAACCGATTCCTGCAAATCGGCCCGGAAACGCGCCGGGGAGGAAAACCGAGCAACAAAGCCCGGATTGAGTCGGGTGGCCTCTACAACCGCCTTGTTGGCGTGGAGTGCCTGCCGTGCGAAAGCCCCGAAGTCGGTGTGAAGCCCCAGGAAGTCTAGAAAGTCCCGGTGGTCCGATGGCGAGGAGGAGGATCCATAGGAACGAACCGCTGGGCCAACGACGGGAAGGCCGCCCCGAAGTCGTAGAACACCGCCGCGGGGCTGTTCAAGCTGAGCGGGCCGGGGGCGTGGGAGGTCCTGAGGGCCGCCGCAATGGCACTGGCCTCAACGTCCAGGACGTTCTGGATGATCATGCGGTCGTTGATGAAGCCTCGTTGCTCAGGGCGTGCCCTCGCTGGGAGTGCCGGCGAGACAACGGCGTTCAGGGACAGTGCGAGGAAGTTCACGTCGGTGTTCGACAGAGACAACGGCCTCAAGTTCTTCGGGTGGCGGTACATGCCAATGATGTGGTCCGTGGGTTCAGCCTGCTTGGGAAAGAGGGCAAGCAAGGCGAGGTTGCCATCGTCCGAGAGCTTGTGACCGCCAAGCCAGGCCAGGTACCAATCGTAGAACATCTGCTGAACTGGCGGGGAGGCAAACTTCCAAGCGGAATATGGGATGCCGTCGGGCCCGTAGCCGCTGTCGCTCGTCCGTCGCATCATGTCACAGAAGTCGTCGAAGGTGAGGGTCCACACGATGGTCGGGAAGCGTCTGGCCCAGCGGTCGATGAAAGTGGTCGCCGCCGCAGCATCGATCTGCTTCTCGGCAAATGCCGGCTGCCAATGCTCGGCGACAGCCCGGAAAACTTTGTTCTCGTCGTGGACAAACTGGCCGTCGCTGTCTCGAACGCCGTCGCTGTCTCGAGCGCAGGGCCACGAAGCGCTGTACTGGGCCGGGAACCGCATGTGGGTGCAGCCACTGGGGCCTTCGGTGCAGCTCCCCATGGGGCCACGAAGCGTTGTGCTGGGTGGGGGAACCGCATGCGAGTGCAGCTACCGGGGCCTTCGGTGGAGCTCCCCATGGGGCCACGAAACATTGCACTGGGTGGGGGAACCGCATGCGAACACAGCTACTGGGGCCTTCGGTGGAACTCCCTGTTGGGCCACGAAGCGCTGTACTAAGTGGGGGAACCGCATGCGAGTGCAGCCACTGGGGCCTTCGGTGGAGCTCCCCATGGGGTGACGACGAGTTGTACTGGGCGGGGGAGACGCATGTGAGCACAGCCAGTGGGTCCTTCGCTGGAGCTCCCCATGGGGCCACGAAGCGCTGTCCTGGGCGGGCGGGCCGCATGCGAGCACAGCCACTGGGGCGTTCGGTGGAGCTCCTTGCGGGGCCACGAAGCGTTGTAATGGGTGGGATAGAATCAAGGAGGAGGAGGGCAGAAGAGGGTACAATCAACCCGTATAGTAAGGACGCACGATCCTGGCCGCGCGCGTAAGGGAGCAGGGTGAGGGGGGAAGTCTTCTTAGAAGCAGGCCGCCGTAGAAGGCGCCCGCACTACGTCTACAGACAGAGCCTGCGCCATCTAAGAAGCAGGGGTGTTGCTAAGAAGCCTTCCCCCCTCCTCCTACCCCCCTCTGCGCGTGGGCGACGATAGGGATGCAGGGGCTTTGGACGGCCATGCCGATATTCTGCGGGGCGCCCCTGCCAGCGAAAGCGGCCAGGGACGGGCCGAAGGGGCAAGGATGCGAGGGTAAGCTTGGAGAGTGGCTCATCCTGACTGTACGGGTTGACCGTAGCACGCACCGTATCCGTTCGGGCTCGCAGGAGCTGCATGTGCGGCGGTGGGCCGGCGCTTAAGGGCACCTCCCCCCAGCACGCTGCAGTGGGATCGCACATGACATCGGAGGCGGAGGAGGAGGCGGAGGAGGCGGAGGAGGAGGCGGAGGAGGCGAAGGAGGAGGCGGAGGAGGAGGCGGAGGAGGAGGCGGAGGAGGCGTCGTCGCATTCAAAAACAATCCTTCTCCACGGTCCGAGGCCCAGCCCTTGCTCGCCCGGCCCTTGGGGCAGGAGTGCTGCATGAACACACCAGGACCGGCACTCGTCGAGTCCACGCCAGATGCGTCCTCGTCGTCGTCGTCGTCGTCGTCGCTATCGCCGACGACGCCGTCGCCGCCGCCGCGGCCGTCGTTGTCGTCGCCGGCGCCGCCGTCGCCGTCACCCTCGCCGCCGCCGCCGTCGCTGGCGTCGTCGTCGTCGTCGCCGCCACCGCCACCGCCGCCACCGCCGTCGCTGTCGCTGTCGTCGTCGTCATCGTCGACGAAGGTGTCTGGGGCCGAGGCGCCAGCGCCGTTCGCCCCCCTTTCTCTTGTGCGCGGCACGGGCACTCGGGGGGGCCTTTCCTGGCCGGGCTCGCGCGCCGCCAGCATCTCGTCAAGGGTGTACGAGCTAAGGGTCGGCAGCATGTACGGAACCCCGGCCTTCGTGTGAGGGGGAGCGCCAAGAGGGAGACCAGCTCATGGGAGGGAGGAGTGAGGAGAGAAGAAGGAGGAGGAGCGAGGAGGAGGAGGCGGAGGAGGAAAAAGAGAAGGAGAAGGGGGGGACATCGACCCGGAATCGGCGGTACATCGCGCCGATAGATCGGCGACAGGACCCCGATAGCGAAGCTGCACGCTCATGGCCGGGGTGGGAGGAGTCGAGGCGTTCCGCCCCTGAGGCCTAACCCCCCCCTGACTTTGCCCATGATTTTTTGGGCGGTGCGCACGAGCTGGCCGTGCGAGGGGGACTGCATTGTGAGACGGAGGGGGTCTCCCGCAAGAAGGTGTGGGCCTCCCTGCAAGGGCCCCGGGGCTTCTCGGCAGCCTTTGCAGAAGCCCCTGGGCCCCTCTGAAGATGCCCCTGCCTTGCTCGGCCACGCGCACGCATGGGTTAGGGATGCGTGGATCTGGCGCGTTGGCGCCAGATCCATGGATCGGGGAAGACCCCCCGGGAACGTGAGGCCAATGCCATCTGATTTGGCGACGGAGCGAACCGATCCTGCATGGAAACGGGACGCGTCGATAACCTAGGAGCATTGACAAATGTTTGCGTCTCCTCGACTGTTTCTGGAGCCTTTTCAGAATGCATTCCAAGAGCGCTCTCGGCGAGGCGCAATTGCTGGCAAGCACCCCGAGGCTGGGGAACCTCCAAGAACCGACGCGAACTTCCGAAAACCTTTCTGGACCCCTCGCGCCGCCTCCGCCCAGAGATCCGATGATCCGAAACCTTCCTGATTTCAGTGTGGAATCCGCAGACGTTCGGACCCTCTCCCCGGAACCGATTTCTCATGGCGAGTCCTCGTCTTGTCAGCCTGGGCGCCCAGCTAGGGCTCCCAAAGACTGAAACCTGGAAAAGACTCCAGCTCTGATTTTTCCAGCCGGGTGCGCTGAAGAGTGGGGGCACGGCGGGAGCGGGGGGGCGGCGCATAATGGCACGAGGCATTTGCGAGGATGAGTGGGGGACCAGGGAAGGCGTTGGGCAACAAAAGAGAAGGGGGTCGTGAAATCTGGAAGACAGCCTTCACGCACCCCTCGTTTTTACACTGCGATGTCAAGGCCTGCTCGCTTTGCCCTGTCTGCCGGAAACCACCTGGCAGTCGCACCCGAGACAGGTCAGAGGTGCGGGCCTCGGGGCCTCTTAGCTCCCAGGGCCAGAGAAGGCTTGAGCCAGTCCTCGCTCCCTCTTGCCAGGTCGGACCAAAAGACCAAATCAGCTCAAATAGCTGACTCCCTGATATCGTTTGGCTGAAAGGTTCGACTAAACATTAAAAGGAACACGCAAGCGTCCCACGAGGGGTCTAGCAGCCGGATCACCTGATACTTCATGGGACTTCCTCATTTGAAGGAGTCTCTCTTGAGAACTCACGTGTCACGTCATCCTGACTCTCGGCGCGAGGGAATGGGCTCGCCAACTATCCCCCCTGTTCCTTTTCCTGGAGATCTGGGAAACCCGGCGACGAATTCCAAACCGGCGCCCTCGCGTGGGACATCTTCAACTAACCGCCCCCCCGAGCCTCCCCAAGGATGCCCTCAGACTTGCGCCGGGGCGCGCCAGGGCGCGCGCCAGGGCGTACCTCAGTACGGGGCTCTCGCTCGAGACATCCTCCCAAAGTCGACCCCTGGCGCGCGAGAAAGTCAGGCCCCACCGCGCCGGGGCGCACCAGGAGAGTCCCAGTCTGGGGCTCTCGCTCGAGAAATCCTCGCAAAGTCGCCAAATCAACCCCCGAGGAAGGCCCTCGAGGACGATGACGAGGATGATCAGGTAGGGAAACGTAGGAGGACGGAGAAGGGCAGGAGCAGGGAGGAGGGGAGGCAGAGGAGGAGGAGAAGCAGAAGGAGGAGGAGGAGGAGGAGGAGGAGGAGGAGGAGGAGGAGGAGGAGGGGGAGGAGGAGGAGGAGGAGGAGGACGCAGGGAGCAAGGAGGAGGAGGAGGAGGAGGAGGAGGAGGAGGAGGAGGAGAGGAGGAGGAGGAGGAGGCGGAGGAGGAGGAGGAGGAGGAGGAGGAGGAGGAGGAGGAGGAGGAGGAGGACGAGAAGGAGGCGGGCGGCAGGCAGGCAGGCAGGCAGGCAGGCAGGCAGGCAGGCAGAGGAGGAGGAGGAGGAGGAGGAGGAGGAGGAGGAGGAGGAGCAGGATGAGGCGGGGCAGGATGAGGCGGAGCAGGAGGAGGAGGAGGAGGAAAAGGAGGAGGAAGAGGAGGAGGAGGAGGAGGAGGAGGAGGAGGAGGAGGATGGTTGGAGGAGATGGGGGAGGCGGGGGGAAGGAGGAAGAGACGTGGAGGAAATGGAGGAGGCGGCGGCGGAGGAGGAACGACCTCCAAGGATCTCACGGGATTTCCTGGGATGACGTGGGCGACGTGGAAGGTTGCCAGCATGGGTGCGGGAAGAGCAGGATGCCACCGCCTCCCGTTCATTCTCCTCTTGCCCACACGCACACGCCCCATCTTCTACATACAGAAACTCCCCATCAACCGCAGAGCAGCCAATTAATAATGCGCCGACCCCTTAGGGATCATCGGCGTGTGAGATGCTTCCCCCTCCCCAAACCCCTCCCCCCGGAGCCTGGTCCGGTCGATTTGGAGGGGGGGGGCCGTCCGGCCAGAGCTCACCTGGGGGGTCCGGCCCTTCTCGGGCTCTTTCTTGAGGTCCACGACAGCTTCTGGGGAGACGGCCCAAGAGGGCCCCGACGCCCAAAATGGCCCCAAGACGGCCCCAGAAACCTCGCAGACGGCCCAGGAAGCCTCCAAGAGCATCCCCAAGAGGGGCCCAAGAAGCCAAAATTGTATCATGCACGTTTTTTCGGCCTCCACGGCGTTGAAGACGGCCCCGGAGTCCCCCAATATTGCCCCAAAACGGCCCGACAGGTTCCCAAGAGGCACTCGAAACGGCCCAAGAGGGCGCCAAGACGGCCAAAGAGGCTCCCAAGACGACCCAAGAGTGTCCCAAGACGGCCCAATGAGGGGCCCAAGAGGAGGAGCCTGAATCAACAATCCGAGCCCTGAATCAACAATCCGAGCCCTCCGCCCCAAAACGGCCCCTGGGGGCCCCAAGAGGCGCTCAAAAGGGCCCATGGGGACGCCACAAGAGGACCCCAAGAGGCCCCCAAAGATGCCCCAAGAGGCCGCCAAGAAACTCAAAAAGGAGGCCCCTAGTACCACTTGGGGCATGTAACTTCTCTAACCCGCAACCCACGCACCAAGGATCTCAGGCCGACAACCGAGGCAAGGTGGCGGGATGGGCCGAAGGCCACAATCTCTCTCTCTCTCTCTCTCTCTCTCTCTATATATATATATATAACCTCATGCCCGTGAGAATAAACACTAGGGGATAATAAAGTTCGGGGTTCAGGGAGAGATAATAAAAGTAGCCCAGCAGACCTCAGCATAATCTCGAAGTAAGAGATGATCAAGAGGAGACCAAGCCGAGCACGTTTTGAGACATCCTTGGCGTTTAGTTTTCATAGAAATATCCTCAACAATGGCTTATCTCGCTGGAGACATCCTCGACAAATCCCTTGTTTCGCTTGAGACATCCGCAAACTATTGCTTATTTCGCTTGAGACACAATCGAACTATTGCTTATTTCGCTTGAGACATCCTCGAAATAATTGTGGTTTTCGCTTGTAACGTCCCCAATGTATTGCTGATTTCGCCTGAAACATCCTGAAACTATTGCGTATTTCGCTTGAGACATCTTGAAACTATTGCTTATTTCGCTTGAGACACCGTCAAACTATTGTTTATTTCGCTTGAGACATCCTCGAGCAATTGCTGTTTTCGCTTGAGACATCCTTAAGAAACGCATCGTTTCGCTTCAGACATCTATATGCTTGTCTCGCTTCGAACATTCTCGAGTATATGCTTGTTTCGCTTGAGACACCCTCGGAATAGCTCATCCGCCTCGGCGTCCCTAGATAATCAACGGCGGCGATAATAAAGTTCAGGCGGGCGGAGGAATGGAGGAAGCTATATATAAAAAAGAAAAATAAAAATAATACATAAAAAAATAAAAGAAATGATAGGAGGAGGAGAAGGAGGAAAAGAAAGACAAATCTCGAATTTCAAATCTATTCTAAGAAGAACGGAAAAATGGCAGGTTCCAAATCTATCAATTTAAATTTACAAGCGCTTTATGAAAATTGATCTTTTTAAGTGCTCATGTAGGGTAGCTCATGTGCTCCCCTTTCCATGGATAATCAACCCCAGAGATAAAAAAGTTCAGGCGCGCGCGGGGATAGATACATATATAAAAAGGAAGATAATAAAAACATATAAATAAAAAGAAAAAACTTGCTGGTTTAGCTGGAAACATCCTTGAGACATCCTTGGAACATTGCTCGTTTCGTTTGAGTCTGCCTCCCAAAATTGTTGGTTTCGCTTGAGACATCCTTGAAACATTGCTCGTTTCGTTTGAGTCTGCCTCCCAAAATTATTGGTTTCGCTTGACACATCCTGAAAAAAGTGTGATCGCTTCGCTTGATGTTGCTATATCAACATCGCTTGATGTTGCTATCTCAACATAGCGTTTCGAGGTGATAATGAAGTTCGGCCTCAGCGATCGCCGCCCAATTTGAATTTTGTATAGGGCGACGATAATCAACTCTAAACACTGAAGGGGGGGGTCCCTTTATTATCATCGGCATGCGGTTATATATGTGTGTGAACAGCCGCGGGCATCTACCTCGATCGAGAAGAAGAAGAAGAGGAGAAGGAAGAGGAGGAGGAAGAGGAGAAAGAGGAGGATGAATTATCCTGGCGAAGGTCCCAACCATGTGAAATTGTGGGCAATGTGATTGTGAATATCTGCTTCGGTGAAGCTCCTATGGGGCCAAGAAGAAGCAATGTACTGGGCGGGAGGGACCGCTGTACTGTGTGGGTGGTGTGAAGAATTGGGTTTCCGGGACGCATGCGGACGGTCCCACTGAAGGCTTCGGTGGACCTTACGGGG